ATATATAGATACGTAAAACAACGGTGAAATATATTAGATAAAGTAACGGTAAAAGGAATAACTTGCAAGAGAATGGATGGATAAATAAATAAACTACCCAGTTGACGTAATAACTTGTAAATAGGTTAAGATTTTGACAGAATACCCATTTCATTAGCAAAACAGGTGAATTATACATCGTTCCCTTTCTTGTCAAAACCTTTGTCAATGATTCACCGCAAAAGGGAAATTGGCCTATTTAGCTTTCTTCTTTTAGGTGTGATTGCGTAAACACGCCACTGACCATTATTACCGTGTACAAACAACAGCTCTGGCGGGAATAATTGAACGTTTCCTCCGAACGCTGTCGGAATATCAGTCCATTAACCTTTCGGTTTCAAACGGATATTGTTGTTTCCCGTTATTTTCACCGTTTGAGGTAAATCAATTTCCGGAAAAGGACAAGTAAACAAAGATTTTTTTAATAGAACAAAAGAAAGAGAAAAGGAATGATTCCTGTAAAGACAAGAGGGAAGAAAAAACAGGAAAATAAAACAAAAAAGACTAAGGAAATAAATAAATGCAAACGAAATAAAACAAAAAAAAGACAAAAAGAAATAAAGCAAAAATTAAATCAGATGAAACAAAGAAGTAAACAGCGACTGAGTGATATTTATAAAGACGAACACATACATACATACATCTATATGTATATATATATAATTATTGGCCATTATAAAAACAAGTACAAACACTACAGAACGAAAGATAAATTATGAAACGTAAAAAGAAACTAGTGAACCTTGAAAAAAATAATAAAATAAAAAGTAAACAAATAAACTTTATATTACAAAAGCATAACAAAAACGAGTCTATTTTTGAAGAAACTGAAAAAGAAAACAAGAGAAATGAAATAAGAATAAATGACAGAAAAAAAAATATATATAAATGATATGTAAAGGACATCGAGTGCAACAAGTATATTGAAACGTTTTGTGATTTTTTTTCAGCAAACTTTGTTGTTATTTCGTGATCTATTTTGGCAATTCCTGTTATTTATGTTTAATCATATTTAACCCTTAAGTCAAGTTGATTAATTGTATTTACCCTTAACTTAATTTGATTGATAATAATTACGCCTTAATTGTTGATTTAAGTTTATATTTACTCCTTAATGAGATATAAGTTCGTTTCTATGCGTTCAATTCTTAGCAGATATATGGTATTATCGAATATGTAAAAAATATATAAATAACTGAATGATGTGAATAAACGAATAAAGAATTAAAAAAAAAACAAGTATAGCAATGTACAAAATAAATACAAAAGAAAAATACAACGTATATAACGATATAGAACTTAAACTCATTTTATCTTAAACTGAACTAAACTTGAAGAAATGAAAACAACGGTGTCTTTCACCTTGTCTGGCCTGCTTTGACCTTCCTTAATTACCTACGGACCTTGCTCACCTTATCAACCTGACCTTACCTACTTATTAATACTTATCTACTTACTGACCTCAGCTGACCTATGTTGGAATAAACGTATTTTGATTTATACATTTGTGTTTATACATTTTTTTTATGAAGTATTCAGTTAGAATATACAGTGCTTATTATTAAACTGTGAGACCTATGAAATTTATTTTTCAACATCATTGTTTTAATATTATCATAATCTTTACGAGACGTAATTTAAAGAAACATAATATTCTTCTGTTATCTTATTAAAAAATCGTTTTGGAGAAAAATACATTCACTTAATACATTACAAACAATTAGAATATGAAATCGAGACGAAAAATCAACAATTCTTTGGGCAGTAAAAAGTAGCTTTTACGAAAAGGGGCGAGAATATTTAGTATCATTTCAGAAGAAAAGTATTCATGCTATTGTTCTGAGTATTAACCATTACGCACGCCGTCCTTCGCCGGTCTCCCAGCCACGCCCACTTCCTATGCCACATCCTATCTGTGCGCAGTGGAATCGGGGTATATTCCCCCCCCCCCCCTCTTCATCTTTCTTTGTCTCTCTTCTCCGTTTGCTCTCCTTCTCGCTCGCTCGCTCTCACTTTATCTCTTTCTCTTTCTCTGCCCCTCTCTCTCTCTCTCTCTCTCTCTCTCTCTCTCTCTCTCTCTCTCTCTCTCTCTCTCACTAGATATATGTATGTGTGTGTGTGTGTGCGCGCACGCGTGCGTGCGTGCACGTACGCATGTATGTCTGCATGCGTGGGTGTGGGAAGAAATACGTAGTTCGTTTCCTTTCGTCCGCCGATTATAGTTTTCCGTCCGTTTGTGTAGCAGTGATTCCAGTAAAGCTTAATAAGGATCTTTCCTCGGGAACTTTCAACTTTTAGGGTTTTTTTTTTAGCAGAACCAACAAAGTGATAATAATTCTGACTCGAAGTTCGTTTCCCTCGAAGCGCAAACGCAGCCTGCCAACACGTAAAGCGCCAGTTTCGAATATTTTTTTTTTCCAAATTCATTACCCTTAATTATATCGGTCTGCGATTCGGATGGAATAATAAGAATGGTAATGATAGTGATAATAATAATAATAATAATAATAATAATAATAATAATAATAATAATAATGATAATAATAATAATAATAATAATAATAATAATAATAATAATGATAATAATATAGTAATAATAATAATAACAATGATAATAATAATAATAATAATAATAATAACAATAATAATAATAATAATGATAATGGTAATAATGATAATAATAATAATGATAATAATAATAATAATAATGATAATAATAATAATGATTAAATAATTATAATGATAATAATAATAACAACAACAACAACAACAAAACAACAATAATAATGATAATGATAATAATAATAATAATAATAATAATAATAATAATAATAATAATAATAACAATAATAATGATGATAACAACAATTTCACAAGTTACATTAACTTACTTTTGTGTGGCAGGATTTCATATACTAACAATAGTTTAGTTTTCCTTAAACACAATAAAGAAAGTGAGTGAAGTAATCACAACAGGACAGCATGGATGAAAAGATTGTCATTGCAATTTTTACATTAAGAACAGTTTCCCCTTGGAGTAAAGGTAGATGGAGTAAGTTTCCCTGAATAGAATGCAATAAAAAATAAATGAAAAAAATATGCTCGTGTTTGCCCTCTTTGATATATCTCTTGTGCATGTCGATGCATTTACTACTGTGAAAAAAAAAACATCTGATTGATAGAAAAACACTCATTATTTGGATGTATTAATATATATTGTAATGACACAAAGTACATATTAGAGTTGGGGGAAAATGTTGAAACAAATCTTAATTACTGCGTCTGATTTGTTTCACTTCCTATCGTGTCAAAAACATCAAAACACTCTTTTATTTTTTTGTGCATACCTGAACATACCACCCGCATATATGCAATAGAAACAGAACTTAGGAGGTCGTTTGTGAGGAATTTTTCGCCACGATTTTATATACTTAAAGATATCTATTATTCTATGATGATTTTATAATTTCTTTTGAGAAATGCATCTTAAAAAGGACCAATATATTTCTTCAGCTTACTCTATGGACCTTCATATTCTTCCGCACTTCAGGAATTCCTCTGCACAGACCCTCGTGAAGTTTCGAAGCTCGCGCGAAGATTTTTTTCCGTCACGAGGCTTCATTATTATCCCCGTGAATTTCATCCTTTTTCTGTAAATTCACAAGATGAATCTCTTCGTAGCTGCTCATTAAAGTTTTAAGCACTTAAAGAGGAATTCGAACGGCGGAGGCATTCGGTTATATACAGAAAATTCAGAATTCGGAGGAAAAACTTTTCAGAACAGAAAGGAATCCAGAAATCTGACTTCAGAATTCAGAAGACGAAAATAAAAATAATTCAGAAACCCGAAAGCTCTTAAAAGAACATTCAGAACTCCACCTTCAGAAGACACACACAAGAAGAAAAAAATAAACGAATCGGGGGTCAGGCACCTCCCGGACACGGCGAGCGAGCGAAGTCCCGGATGAGCGGAGCCGAAGCTGATCGCTATCTCCTCTCGGGCGCATTAGGCTAATTATGCAACATTCAGGCCGTATTTGGGCGCCTTCGGTCGTCCCTCGACGCCGCACTCTCCAGGCTCGGGTTTCTTGGTGGGAGGTGGAGAGAGACAGAGAGAGGGAGAGAGAGAGAGAGAGAGAGAGAGAAGAGGGGGGATACAGACAGAGACAGAGAGAGAGAAAGAGAGAGAGAGAGAGAGAGGGGGGGGTACAGACAGAGAGAGAGAGAGAGGGGGGGGGGATACAGACAGAGACAGAGAGAAAGAGAGCGAGAGAGAGAGAGGGGGGGATACAGACAGAGACAGAAAGAGAGAAAGAGGGCGAACCTCGTGGGTGGAGAGGCAAAGCCAATCACTCGGCGCCATATCTGAGGAAGCCGAGTAAGCGACACGGAAAAACACCAACCATATACAAACAATTCACTGACAGATACTTTCACCGAAGACTTTTATTAGAGGACATTAAAATACACAATCACACATCTGTCTTTCGGTAATTTGCAGCTTTGAAGATTAGGAAAACGGAGGAGAAATTCAGTTTCATTCAGAAAAAGAAAATATAAAAAAATCTATACAATAAACACATCTAAATCTAAAATAAAAATAGTGGAAATGACCACCGAGCTGATATTTTGGTTATACATTACAAATGAAACTGTTTGAAAGATGGAATAATGCAATACCGCATTGATATAGATATATAACACTCCTCCCTGACCTGGCCTCGAGCCTAAGTCACTCCTGGTATGAGACCGGAGGGCCAGCACCAAACCAACCATGCCACGCGACCCACTAAAAGGAGTGTGAAACTAGGATCTAACTAGCTCCACAGACCTGCGTCCAAATCTCTCGCCGCCAGTGGATGGCAACCGCGGCGATTCCTTGTACACAGGGGGTAATTTAGAAGCAAAACAACATGCCACACCAAGAATATTCCTTGTAACAAATGGAATAAGATGGGCTCGACACACGTGGAAAAGTTGAAATAGACACCAAGCTGAAGAAAGGTCGTGAACTTGATTGTGACGTGACTCTAATATTTGGTTGTTTTCCTCACATCTGATAAAGATTTGAAATTAATGCAGGAAACATAATAAATAATTGGGGGGGGATTCTATTTTTAAAAGTCCTCCGCGAAGTCCGGCCTTCGCGTAGCTACCTTCGGCACTTCTGAAAATTGTTATCTTACAATCTAAACCTCCATGGCGGTGGGTACTAAATACACTGAGTGAATCGCATGCCGATTTGCGCCCCGGTGGGTTCATAAATCACGTAAAGTAGGCACGGAAATGAATACATGTAATAAATCATTTCTTTACCCCACAGTTCAAAATCACTTTCATCTGAGCAAATGACAAAAATGCTACGAACTCCAAGAATCCGTCTGAGAGAGAAAGAGAGAGAGAGAGAGAGAGAGAGAGAGAGAGAGAGAGAGAGAGAGAGAGAGAGAGAGAGAGAGAGAGAGAGAGAGAGAGAGAGAGAGAGAGAGAGAGAGAGAGGGAGAGAGAGACCATCTGATTTCCATGACGAAGGCTGACTCCCCTCCTCTCGTCCCCTGCCGCAGAGCCCCTCGGCGCCTGATCTTCCACGGTGAGATCACCCACTCCGCTCTGCCTCTGTGTTGGGAGCACGCTGCTCGCGGACCTGGAGGAAGTAGGGCGAGTTCAGACCGGACCTTTAAACCCTGAAGTCCCAGAATAATAAAGAAGGGGAAATTCAGAAAGTTTAGGGACATGGTAATCAGCAGGTTTATACTACATTTCATTGATTTTAAAAGTGATTTTGATAATGTTGACCGTTATCCTTATCATTCAAGATATTGGTTTTAGACTATGTATATATATATATATATATATATATATATATATATATATATATATATATATATATATATATGTGTGTGTGTGTGTGTGTGTGTGTGTGTGTGTGTGTGTGTGTGTGTGTGTGTGTGTGTGAACATGCATATGTATATGTACACACACACACACACACACACACACACACACACACACACACACACACACACACACACACACACACACACACGCACACACACACGCACACAACCAAGAGAGTCTCTAAGTAGGTAAGTTCGAGTCCTGCATCTGAGGACAAAACTCTCTATCTATCTATCTACTTATATAACCCTGGAAACGTAAGTCGGGATATTAATCTCCATGTGCCAAACAGAAAGTCCTGTTTAACAAATCTATCTGTCTATGTGTGTATGTATGTATCTATCTATCTACCTATCTATATAATCCTAGAACTTGTTTTTACTAAATCAGCTATTTCTACCTCAGTCAGTTTGGTTGCGACGCCACAAATTATTTGAACATTAATTATTTAACAAATGATATGTAATATCATTTGCAATCTAGGGCCATAGACCATTCGAATTCCACAGACATGGATGTTGTTGTAAAGAATAATGATAATAAAAAAATAACAGTAATAGGAATATGCTGAAATCTGTTACTGTTATCTTCAAGTCTTATATAACCGAATGCATATATATATACATTTTTTAAAATATAATCAATAACTCTTCCGTTTAGCAAAGATGTTCGTGGGTGTGCAAATGAACTTAATAAACATTCCAGCGTTTTTCCGACTAAAGTGAAAGCCTCCAGCCATCCAGCATAGACTTCAGGGGCGTCAGCTGGTAGAGGGGGGGGTGCCGCCTAAGACACTATTTCCCCCCCCCCCTTCAAGGTCTGGCTTACCCCTCCCCCAAGAGCTATGTTTTTTAACTTTTTTCTTCTAATAAATTACACCATTATAGGTCAGATTATAGCTTTGAAATGACCATAGAATAGCTCATATTTTATACATTTTTCTACATCTTCGCTCGCCAACCCACCTTGCCCCCCCCCCTAAGAAAATGCTGAAATGAGAGACTTGCTTTGCACTGCATTATCTCTGCAGCCCGCGAAGCAATCGCATCTAGTCTCAACCTAGACAAGAGAGCACATGCACCTTCTAGGTGAAGGAGCCGTTGATGCAGAGGTGGAAGAGCATCACGGAGAACTGCACGAGGGTGAGGCCAATGCCCGCGTAGGTGAAGGTGTTTTTCTGGTCGTAGCTGCGTCGGTCGAGGAAGCTGTGGTAGTAGCGGGACTTCTGCACCAGCCAGCGACTCAGGAAGAACGCGTTGACGATGATCACGGCGATGGGTTTCAGCAGCCACGTCCAGGTCAGCAGGGGTTTGCGCTTCGGGAAGGCATAGGATGGGGTGTGGGTTGGCTGTTATTATTTTTTTTTTTTTTAGCTTTTCTGTTTTTCATGGGAGTGGGTCCTGTATTTCTTATGGCGTAAACAATATGTACTCTAATATTACTCTACTTTTCACATTTGTATTCAATACTATGTGAATTATAATTGCCTTGGAGTCAAGCCAAGTGAAGAACCAAGAACTTAAATACTAAACATATTTATAACCATGTTAGCAAGCCAAAAAAAAGAAGATCACGGCCCACCTTGCACAGGCCGATGATGAGGATGGTGGAGAAGAAGAGGCAGCCCACGCCCTCCGCGATGCCGATGTTCACGCGCACGCTGTGGTCTGCGGGGAAGGGAGGGGGGCATTGACAAGGCTTGTGAAATTTGTTATACATACACACCTATAGGTATCTGCAAACATCCCATAACCGAACTCTCGATTTTGACAGAAGGGAATCTAATTTCCCCCGTCGACGGTGCCTTAGCAGGTGATGTTCTACATCTCAGAAGTTTGCACCTCTCCTGGCATGCTAAGATGCTAAGCAGTGCAATGGTGCGATAGCTGCTGCAGTCTCAGCGAACCCTTTGTCAACTTCAGAAGGTATAACCAAACTCCTTAAAAGTTTGATACCACAGAAATATAACCCAGAGCAATGTTGATGCCTCATTAAGGACAGCTGTCTGTCACAGAAGTGAGCTCGTTACTGAAGAACTCTTCCACACTAGGTTTACAGATGTTGGTGGGAGGTACATGGCAATAAAAGGCATGAAACCGAACGAATGCTCATTTCCAACACCATTATATGCTCATCAACTAGAGTTACGTATTCTCTCAAGACTGACTATCCCGACACTTGCTGTAGACATCCTCTGGAGATGGCGTGCAGCAATACAGGCGTATCAGTAAAAGAGTGTAGTCAGCCTAATTGACTGTGCTGCTGCTAGATCTTCTCAACTCCTAGATGGCTCAGCCGAGCTTAATCCTTGGGACCCACACCTTGCCAGATCAGAAGGGAATATTATTCCTCACTCGAGTATCTTCTCCCAAATGACGCACTGTCAGCGTGCGTCTCACGGACACAGACTGATTGGGAAGTAGCTTAAAAAAACATTCTATTCCCCAGAGCCATCCTTTGACCCCAGAGCACGGAGAGAAGGTGGCACGAAGCCTCAGTGTGTCTCCACGCCCCAGTGGGCCAGGCTCCCTACCTCTGAGGCCTCCTGCCACACCACTACTGTGAGAGAAAAGGCTTGCAGGAAATAAACACTAAGTTATTGCCCATATGCGTACTTGCGTGCATGTTTGATTGTGTGCATGCGAATGTGCGCAAACATACACGATTAACTATGTGCATACGTAAACTCTCAAACAACTACAGAAAGTGACAGCTTACCTGACTGGTAGAGGTAATGTTCGCACCAGCGGATGCCATAGATCGAGTGGCACCTATAGTGGACGCCGAACTGATAGCCATAGAAGGCGCAGGTGGCGACTCCGTGCAGCTGGGAAGATTGCGTTGTAGCATTTTTTATATGATTTAGAATAAATCTTTCTCAAATAGTTTCTTACTACATGTGCAAGTATTATTTATCACATGAGCTTTAATTATATCACGTTATGACCACATGACCGGACTAAAGAGGAGAACGGAACGCCCACACAAAAGGACAGCGGGTGTTGTTGACATTTCAGAAAGTCTATTAAATTAATAACTTGAGTGAATCAGAGTCGACTCTTCTGGGTGAGAAAAAGGAGAAATGAAAGATGAATAATCTTCATGAATCTTTCGGCAGCTACCATGCCCGCCTTATATGACCTTTATACCATATGTCATTTTTTGCAACGGATGTTTTCAGGTTTACTCCTAGGCAGGGGTATTATAGTGGATGTTTTTGCTGCACGATAATCACCATTACTCTTACAGTTTTTTGTCATCTTTGTAGCATTCAGTATCAGCAAGATGATTGTCACGACCCATGCTTTTATTATCCTCGGCCTTGCAATGATTATCGTTTTCAGAATTGTAGCATTGTAATCATCTTCACCAGTATTATTATCAGAAATTGTCAGGATTATGAAGTTCATCATTAGTATCACCTCATTCTTAATTCTGTACTACAGTTAGTGTAGTATTGTAAGCACTATAGTTATAACCTTTTTTATTATTACATTCACACTTGCTAGGATTAGACTTGATTCCCAGTATTATTTTTATTATTGCCAGTATTACGATGATAAGTTTTAGTACTATGCTGATAGTTATAGCCAGCATAACAATTACCATTGATGGTGTTATGATTATTATAGTCAGTATCATAATTACCGTTACTTTTACAGTTTTCATGATCATTGTTGCCATCAGTATTATCATCATTGGCAGCATTATAATTATCATTGACAGTGTTGTAATGATTTCTGCCAGTATTGTACGAATCACTGCCAGCATAATTTTTTCTCAATATTACAATTATGATTGTCACCGATAGATTTATTATTGTTATTATTATGGTTATTATCTTCAATATTACGATTTCCACTGTCAACATTATAATCATTAATGGTATCATAATTATCATAATTATATGGTCACTATTATTATCATCATTATTAAACCTACAGCCATCATTATTTGTTTATCAAAACCATCACTGCTGTTACTGTAGGTTTTCATAATCAGCATTTTAGTAACATATATCGCAATTACCATAAATCTCATCTATTACCATAATGCGTCATAACCCCCTCTCCCCCGAAAAAAATGATAATAATGATAATGATAATGATAATGGTAATGATAAGAAGAAGAAGAAAAAGAGAAAGGAAGGAAGAAAGAAAATAACAATGATAATAATCGCATCTTCATCTCTCATAATATAATACTATCAAGAAGCTTTCCCACAGATTTTAGAACCGAAAATCACCAGGTCGATGACGGCGAGCAGGAGGCCGAAGTTGATGATGTTCCTGAGCGAGCAGGCCATGGCGGGGAATCGCGGCCGCGCTGGAGCTCACGCCAACAGCCCTGGAGGAGCCAGACGGGGTCAGTTCAGGGTCGGGTGAGATGTATTAGAGATTGGTGGACGGGTAGGTGTATAGGCAGGTATCACACGCCAACAGCCCTGGAGGGAGCCAGACGGGGTCAGGTCAGGGTTAGGTAAGATGTATTAGAGACTGGCAGACAGGCAGGTGTACAGGCAGGTATCATATATTTCATATCAGTTCATCCGGTGGTTTTCGCAAAGATGTATTTTGTACATAAGTGGAGAGATGGGTAGACAGATTGTTGGGTAGACAGGTAGGTAGACTGATGAAGGGAGACAGAAAAGAATAATTTCATTTGGTAAGTTTGTGCAAGATGAATTATAGATTGGCAGATATGTAGATGCATAGACAGACGTTAGATATGTATAAAGATGCGTGTAGGAGATAGGGATCAATTTATTTAGTAACTTTTGGATTAGATGTATTATAGATTGATGGATAGGTAGATGAATAGATAGATATTGATGTATATATGAAAATATGTTGTTTGAATAGATATATCGGTTTAGGTTCATTTACCGATTTTCTACGAGTAAAGAAACGTGATTATTTAACAGAAAGTGGGTGTGTTTTGTATACATTCCAGTCAAATAGAAGATGAAAATTGTTTGACTTTTTATAAAATACTAATTTTTCTAGATATTGTCTCCGAAGTGTACTGGCACTACTAGACCACATACTAAAATAATGTTTGTTGAATATACAGTACAGACAATATCACTGTACACTCCAGTTACAACACAACAGTATTTCTGTCAAACCCTCGCTTTTGGGTGTAAAATCGACATTTTAATTTAAAGATTGAATTACAAATTACGTGAAAAACAAAATCACAATACGTAAGTCGACTCCATTGTTCACAAATTAATAAACCTATTAAGAAAAACAAAAAGCCTATTAGCTGTGGTCGGACGGTTCACTCAGGGCTCGAGCTGTGAAGGCATTCCCTGCGCCCCTGCTGCGCCTGCTGGCAAGGATGTGGCTGACTGATTTCCGTTTCTGAGCTTTTGTTGTTCACCACACAAGCAAAATATGCATGATCGTTTGGTGGAATCGCAACGACAATGAACTGCTATCTTGGCGGATTTTTTCCAGAAGAACAGCGACACGGGATCATAATTAATCATTCCCGAGGTACCTGTGGAATTAGGAATTACCGACTTGGAATGGTCTTCGGACAAACAGCAGCCGATGCCACGACGGCTTCAAGAGCATATAGAATGATAGATAAATAAACAGACGGAGAAATATAGATGGCGGGGTCGTAATATAGGACGCATTTGTCAATCCACCAATATCTATTAATATTTTGTTATGAGTTTTTTTTCCTTACGAACAAAGGATCTCGTATCTCGAGTTTACAAAAATCCAAAACGAATATACGAAAAGGTCACTTCCTGTGTCGAAAGTTATCTAGGGTATATTTGTTCTCAACAACGCAAAACAACATAAAACTGAGAGAGAGAGGGAGAGAGAGAGAGAGAGAGAGAGAGAGAGAGAGAGAGAGAGAGAGAGAGAGAGAGAGAGAGAGAGAGAGAGAGAGAGAGAGAAGAGAGAGGGAGAGAGAGAGAGAGAGAGAGAGAGAGAGAGAGAGAGAGAGAGAGAGAGAGAGAGAGGAGAGAGAGAGAGAGCGAGAGAGAGAGAGAGAGAGAGAGAGAGAGAGAGAGAGAGAGAGAGAGAGAGAGAGAGAGAGAGAGAGAGAGAGAGAGAGAGAGAGAGAGAGAGAGAGAAAGAAAGACAAATGAAAAGAAAGAAAGAAAGAGAGAGAAAGAAAAAGAAAAAGAGAGAGCAACTGAGACCGAAGGCATCGGGAACGTACATTGCAACACGCGCTAAAAAGTCTCTTATGAACAGCTCCTCGATACAACGTTGTTTTGGCCAGCCCTCTGGCGCAGTCGGGCACAAGGGCGCAAAGTCCTCAGAGAAAACAGATTCGTATTTATCTTACAGATAATCGACGGATAGTTTAGCTGCAGCTGAGAACTGAAGCCTACATACTGGCTAAGAGGATAAGCAGTGCCAACATAAAATAAAAAAATACAGCTTCTCACTTCCCGTCTCCGTCTGTCCGAAGAAGGTCGTGATGTTGGTCTTGCGAAAATAAGCATTATGATTTGATGGGTTATAATTGTGAAATCTGACAAGCTTTTCTGACGTTGCTGAGTTCAGAATCTTTGTCATTTCGTTTACTATTCTGTTGCTCTAGATCTAATTTCTTATCGTATTTGTCCTTGCTATAATTCGTTTCAGTGTTACAAACATTTGCAGACATGACCATCTCTCGTCAGAGATTTTAATCTGTGAAGGAATAGGCGGCCAAGAGGAGAAAGATTTGACATCAAAATTTATTCGAGTGAATTGGACAGCCCTTAAAACACTGACTCGTGAACTCCTCTCATGAATGGCACCCTAGACACGCATACTCCTTCCTGCGGCACCCTTTTCTCTAACCTTCCTCCTCGACCTCGCACGGGACTTATTGGGATAAGGGTGAGGATAACCTCAGTGACCTCATCCTTTTGATATATAAGCTTCTGTTTCATTAAACTTGTCAAAGTTAAAGTCCCACGATTTATCTTTACCGCAGAGTGCATCTTCGCCTCTTCTACGAAGTCCTGGAACTCGAAACTAAATAAACAAAGATTACATGCTCTAATGGCGTACGTCTATAATCATTTACTCACAAGAAGAATGGTAAAGACTTAAAATTTAGATCCGAGATTATTGAGATTATTTTACAACAAAATCTTGTGACGCACAGATGAGAACCAAGGCATTTGATTCGCATTACAATTTCCGTGTTGGGTTGACGTCGGGAAAGACCTGTTAATTACGTTTCCCGTGTGATGCCCTTTTTACACTGATGGTACCTGGGTTGCAGAAAATGTCTTCATTTAGAATAATTATCAAGAACTGTCATCAAACTTCATTATTGCAGTGTCTAAGCCTACGAGTGATTCCGACTTGGGTTAGCTTGGTTCGACAAGTTTGCTTAAGTCCCCGTAAAATTCACAATTTCGGTTTTTGTATAATGCAAAACCGATTAAAATCCAAATATCTAGTAGAAAAAAGGACTTCACTTAAAAAAAAAATAGACAAATAAGATAAAAATAAATGTATCATATCGCAGCTACAAAGAAGGTGAAGGAAAAAAAAGCTTAGCGCAGCGTCTCCTGCATGACTTTCTCCTCCACAGAACCAGTCAATATATATAAAATGCCAACGATGAATATAGTTATTCTTTAAATAATTATTAGGTGCTTTGCTGTATTTCTAATATCCTTTGCACGCGGTATATTACCAAATTAAAGTTATCCTGCCCAAAGGGCTCTCCATCTACGCAGTTATTTGCAATACAGCCGTTAACAGGAGCTAATAATGATAATAAAATAAAAATACGATAAATAAAAAATTACTTCACAAAACTCACCTAATACACACTAGTACAGTAAACACCTTCCTCTTCGCTGATTCCAAACGCCTTGCTCGTGACAAAAGACCAAGTTCCTGGCCTCGAGTCCCGCGTATCCGCCACTGTGCCGGCCGGAGGAGGCGCCGCGACCTCCAGCC